AAAAAAACAGTAAAATAAATCCCTAAACAAACAGTAAAAAAAAAGAAAAAAAAAAAAAGGTGTGCGCACCCGGCGCACCTGCGCCCCGCCAGCGCGCACCCCCCAGCGCACCAGCGCGCAGCGCACTGGCCCTGAGCGCAGCGCACTGTGCACCCGGGTGCGCGGGTCCGCGCACCGCACAGCGCGCGGCGCACCTCGCAGCGCACAGGGTTGGTGCACCGCAAGTATGGAAAATACGTGATCGTGTAAGTGCTTTTTTTTTTTTTTTTTTACCACTATTACCTCTGCCAGTGTTGGGAAATTACATCAAAACACCCCCTCCCGAAGAATTTGGGGGTGGGACCCAGGGTCGGCAAGTCCTATAAATCTTAGTTTTATATTGATCGCGCGTGAATGGAAAAGAAAACAAAAGAAAATATTTTCTCTACTCCACTGATGTAGGGCAGGGTAGTCTAGGAGGCCGTGCTCACAGTCTTCCTCACACTGGGACTTAGAGGAATGTATGCAGCCATTTTCAGGGCGGAATAAGTGTTTCCTTTTTTTTTTCACTTCTTCTGAATCTTCTCCTCTTTATGGAATCTGACAACCTGGGGCCAAGTCCCACTGCCAATTCACTCGGTCCGGTATTCTATCGCCTTTGTTTGTGCGACATCATCTGAAACCGATGATCCGTATTGATCGCAGGGTGCAGGTTTCTTACTAAAAAATTAATGCCATCAGTCAGAACATTCAGTGTTCCTATTGGCCACGAAATCCGTGTATTCTGTAGGAAAAGAGGCTCGTCGGTTCTAGTCCCTAGCCGCTCTGAGGTAGGCTAGGGAATCAAGCCCGTTTCGAATTGGGTCGAGTCCTATGGCACTGGCCTATTTCGAACAGAAAAAAAAAAAAAAAAAAAAAAAAAACTGAGAGCGTGAAGAGGGGCCAAGGATTCCCTCGACTTGGGGCGGGCGAGAGCGAGCCTGTCCCTAGAAAATGTGTGTTTGGAAGTGCAGGCTGTGAACGTGGTGGACATGGTTAAAGATTATACAGTTGCCGTGATTGTCAGGGCCAGATCCCACTGGCAAAGAGGATTGGAATAAGCCTCTGATTCTGGACGTGTTTGTGGAAAGGTGCAAACAGTTGTGATTGAACTGCATTTCTGCATCTCAGTTTGGAACACGTCCAGATTCAGCCACTTACTCCAATCCTCTTTGCCACTGGGATCTGGCCCTTAGTCGTGCACGGGGACATTCCAGGGTCGAGGGGATGGGCGTGTGCAGTGAAGACGAGCGACTGGATGGGCGTGTGCAGTGAAGAAGAGGGACTCTTGCGGTGGAGGTCTGAATGATGCGATGGTTGAGCAGGGAATGGCAGGGCTCTGACCGTTTTTATGATGTCCAAATTTCACAGCCCGGGCCGCTCAACGTCACACTGGCTAGGAAACCAAACCGATTCGCTGGCAGTGGGACTTGGCCCCTGGCCACGGGGCTGAGATGCCCTCACTGAGGGCACACTCACACTACCACTTCCAAGAATGTATACAACTGCAATCAAGGCGAGAGATTTGTTTCCCTTGGTAGCATCAGGACCAAGCTTCTTCGATGGGATAGTCGCTGTGCATCCCCCGCGGTCCCCTCCCCCTATGAACATCAGCAGTCTCTGCTCACGGCCTATCTCTAGGTGCCGGGCGCCAAGCTTGCCCAGGAAGGTACATGAGGCCAATGCGGATTGAACCCAAGACCTCCTGAATGCCACTTGGCAATGCGTGCCTTACCAACTGAGATAGACCGATGATTAATAGTGTTAGTATGCCCTGAGTCACAGTTTTTGTCTGACATAGGCAGCAAAAAAACAGCAGATAGCAACTTCTACATGGGGTAGTTTGAAAACGCAATGCCATGGAAAACATCACGTGGTGGGTATCTCAGGGCCGCACTGTGAAACAGGCACGTACGATGTGTTATGGTTTTTGGGCAGTTCACTCGATGGGACCATTCTGTTCTGTTACTATGTTTTCTTCTCCGGTCTGGTGGCTGATTGTAGTTCGAATGCAAGGTTCGGTTTTTCTTACCATGGTCTCCGCTACAGCGAGTCAGTTTCTGCTGTGACGGGGAGGGGGGTGTCAGTCCCATGGCAGGCCTGAGGGGTTTTCTTTTCTAAACCACGCATTTCCTCTGATCTGCACGGTCCGTCGGTTCAGATAGGCATTAGGAGGTACGGTCGGTGGGCGTCAGTCCCATGCCCGATTGTCTGGTCGCAAGTTCGAGGCTTGGGGTTCGCAAGTTCAAGGCGTATGATTCACGCGGCAGTTCGCATGGACTTTTCTGGTAGGTTCCAAGGTTCGTAGGACACGGGTTCTGGTCCCGTGGTCTGTGTTGGTCACCTAAAGGGCAAGGTTTCGAGTCTGTGCTACTAAGTTAGTCTGTGAGGTTTTCTGAGTTACTGCATCTATTTACGGCAAGTCAGTGGTCTGTTCGGTGGATGATGGATTTTACAGTTCTTCAGTTAGTACACAGGATATATATATAGATGCACACATGTTTAGTCATTACCTCACGACCGACCAAGACCCCTGAGGAGAGCCGGTGGCGGCCGGCCGAAACTAGTCGGGTTCACGCCGCTTTGTTTTTATTGTATATTCTTCGAAGTCGCGTTCGGGAGATTGCTTTTATAT